CTCCTCCCCCCTCTTCCTCCCCCCTCCTCCTCTTCTCCTTCTCCTCCTTCTCTTCAGGGCTGCTACAAATGAAAGCTCATTTCCTCTCTCCCCCCAGTATGAACCATCGACACTTTCCTCACTCCCTGAGTTAACACCATCCGACATTTCTCCTCCTTGCATCTCTGCTTGAGATTTGCCCACCCTGGGGTTTAGTTCGCTTCCTTAATTAAAGGTCCCTCTCAGAAGCTTCCCCATCCTTAATGTCTTCCGAAGAGATGGAGTGAGTGTCTATAAAGGCAAAGATGTTGGGAACAGGTTTATGGAGAAACTGGCAAGTTTTATGCTCGTGTGGGTTTTGGCGCTAGGAGGGAGTTTTCCCACGGAAGTGAGGCGGGCGATGGGAGAGCATCCCTGGCTCAGAAGCGTCCCTGTCATGAGACCTCTGGTCCACAGACAAAGTGGTTAGCACGCACGGCACCCGCCACTGCTCCGGCCGACGCGCTGTGGCACAGATGATAAGGAGCTAGAGTCGCAGCGTGCAAGTTGTGAGCTAGGTGAGGGAATGCGTCCTAGAATAAAGCCTGTTCCGTTTGTGGAGCGTTACGAGTGCCCAGCAAGCGTGAGGATCTGAGGTCAAATCTCTGCTCCCGTCAAACATGAAAATAAGAGGGGTTAAAAAAAAAAAGGGTAACCGGGTCGCCGGTGGCTCGTGCTCTGTCGTTCTAGCCACTCAGGAGGCTGAGATCTGAGGATCACTGTTCAAACGTGAGACTCTTATCTCCAGTAAACCACTCACAAAACTGGAAGTGGCGCTATGGCTCAAGTGGTAGATCGCTCGCCTTGAGCTGAAGAGCTGAGGGACAGTGCCCAGGCCCAGAGTTCAAGCCCCACAACCGACCCCCTTCCCCCCCAAAAATGGTGTGGCAGATGAGTTGTTTGTCAAGTCAAACAATGGGGTGGCTGAGCTCCTAAGGCCACATCTGGTCCAGGCTCTCCTCCCTGCCACCTCCTTCCTTCTGTCTTCTTACTCTGTTTTTTTTCTCTTGTCGCATGTGTGTCCGCGGCTGGCTGTCTGGGCACAGTGGGAAGAAGTCAGCGGCTACGACGAGAACCTGAACACGATTCGGACCTACCAGGTGTGCAACGTGTTCGAGCCCAACCAGAACAACTGGCTGCTCACCACCTTCATCCACCGGCGGGGGGCGCACCGCATCTACACGGAGATGCGCTTCACCGTGAGGGACTGCAGCAGCCTCCCCAACGTCCCCGGCTCCTGCAAGGAGACCTTCAACCTCTACTACTACGAGACCGACTCGGTCATCGCCACCAAGAAGTCGGCCTTCTGGTCGGAAGCCCCCTACCTCAAAGTGGACACCATCGCGGCCGACGAGAGCTTCTCCCAGGTGGACTTCGGGGGAAGGCTGATGAAGGTCAACACCGAGGTCCGGAGCTTCGGGCCCCTCACGCGGAACGGCTTTTACCTCGCCTTCCAGGATTACGGGGCCTGCATGTCTCTCCTCTCAGTGCGCGTCTTCTTCAAGAAGTGCCCAAGCATCGTGCAGAATTTCGCCGTGTTCCCCGAGACCATGACGGGGTCCGAGAGCACGTCCCTGGTGATCGCGCCGGGCACCTGCATTCCCAACGCGGAGGAAGTGGACTTGCCGATCAAACTGTACTGCAATGGGGATGGGGAGTGGATGGTGCCCATCGGACGCTGCACCTGCAAGCCCGGCTACCAACCCGAGAACAGCGTGGCCTGCAAAGGTAAGCCGGGGCCTCCGAAGAGAGCCGTCCGTCCGTCCTTCCTTCCTTCCTTCCTTCCTTCCTTCCTTCCTTCCTTCCTTCCTTCCTTCCTTCCTTCCAACTTACCTTGGGACTTTCCCTAGTTCTTGCTCTGGGTCATTCCAAAATAGAACAAAAAGAACCTCAGGGTTTCTTCGCAAGCCCCGGAGAATTTTCTATCCTCACTGCTAGACCCGATGAGTTCCCCGATGTGTCCAGCCTAGCTCTTCTGTGTTGACGCTGGGAAGTAGAGATGGGAGAGAATTCTGAACCGTGGAAAATAATGTAGCAGATGATGATTCTTTTTAATTTGGGAACACATACCTTCTCTGTGTCTGTCTGGCACACACACACACACGTATCCTGTATCGGTCTCAAGCTCTGGGGAGAATGGAGTGTTTGGATCGCCCATAGACAATTCACTCCAAAGGTAATTGGGAAGTGACTGAACTTGGAAAATATTTTAGTTCATTTCAATGCAGCCCCCACAGCGGTGAACTTGGTATTGAACCCATGTAGCTCATTAACTCGAAGTCCTCGGGCTTGGCTGTCTTTCCCTGGGGCCGGGTGCCAGGCCTTGGAAGGAGATGAGGCGGCTGGGACGGGGGTGGGGGTAGGCGGAGTTGAAAGACGCAGAGTGACGCGGTTCTCTGGGGGTGCGCGGGCACTGCGCGCTCCTCCCGACTCCCCTCAGATCCGCATAAAAACGCGGAGGACTCATTCTGCTTCGGGAGGTGGATGGAAGGGTCTGGAAACCTCACAACTCCCGTCTGGCTCAAGTTAACAGAATTCTGGGCCCGGGGCCGTCCAGGATTGGCGAAGAGTTCACGGGTCTGCATGATGACATCTTTTCCCCCCCCCACCTTCGGAGGTCCTGATTGTTTTTAAGAGGACAATTTCCAAAATGGCGACCTTGACCGTGGGGTATTCTCAGCCCTTTGGGGGTCTGGGGGCTGTATTACCCCATTCACTCTTATGATCCCATTGGAACCACCCCCCCCACACACACTCTGCCTGGGCACTTGACCGGCTCATGCCTGTTAAACTCTCCCCCCCCCAAACCAACCCCCCGTTTTACCTTGCTCCCCAAATCCTTGCCAGCCAAGTGCTTGGCACGGGATCACTAACGGCCACAGGCTATACAATCCCATGGACTGAGCTAATTGCCCGGGCTGGGTCCCTCACACAAGCTTTTCAGAAGCCTGCTGGGAGCACCGAGCTGCGCCTTTGTCTCTTTATTGGATTTCTTGGTTCTGGTACCCATGATGGATGGCTTGGAAACAGAGGGGAGAGACGGCCAGAACCAGTCATGAATCAACAGAGACAGTTTAGAAACCAGCCCAGCCTGGTCCCTGGGTTGGGACTCCTGGGGGCGGGGGGAGAGGCCAAGGGTATGTGTGTGTGGGGAGGGGATGGAGGAGGCCGCCTTTATTAGCATTCTTGGGGTCTGAGTGGAGGCCAGGATGCCAGGCTCAGTTCTTAAAGGCAGAGGTGCAGCAGCTGGATCCATGCACACGGGTGGTTTCCAAGGACTCCCACGCTGTACTTGCTGCCCGGGGTCCTCTCGTAGTTCTCATTATTTTCCATGCAAGCCTTCCTCCCCCCCCCCCAAAAAAAAAACACAACCCACAAACTCATGGCAGGAGCCGGAGGAAGCACGGATTGGTTCTGATTTAATTGGGACTCTGGGAACAGGCTCTCATTTCTTTGAATTAATTGGAGCTGTTCTGGTTGTTTTTTTTTATTATTGGTGGGGTGTGGGGGTACGTGTTCAACTGTCCACGCTGTTTGTCAGTCACCCCCACGCCCCGCTGCCGTGATTGTCCTAGAGGGGCTCGTGGGGACAGATTTTGTAAATCCAGGTCGTTTCTTTCCCTCCTTCCTGTCCTGATTTTTGGTGGGTGTTTCTAATCTCCGACGGAACCGTGCACGCTGGGCTTGTCGAAGGGTGGAGGTAATGGGGAGCTCGGGGTACCCTCACCCTGCCGTGGTCGATGTCTGGCATCTCTCAGGGCTGGGGGGTGGGGCCGGGCGGCCAGACGCCGTGTTCTTTGGCTTCATGTTCTGTAGCTGAGCTGAGAACCCTGAGAAGGTGGAGGAAACGCCTGTTCTTCTGACGTAAGAACGTCACGTCACATCCCACGGATGCTCTGTCTTCGGTACTGTCGGCATCTGGTCCCTTGGCATTTCAGATGGACTTCACTGCCCCAAGACTCCTAAGGGATTGCTCTGGACTCCCCACGCTCTCTGGTGATGGGGTGAGAGACTGGTGGCCGATCCTCGAGAAGGTTCTCGAGGCTGCGCCCATGGCTCCTGCGTCATCCTAGCTACTCAGAAGGCTGGGATCTGAGGATGGCGGTTCAAAGCCAGCCCGGGGCAGGGAAGTCTGTGAGACCCTGAGAACCAACCACTCAGAAAACCGGAAGTGGCGCTGTGGCTCAAGCAGTAGAGCACTTGCCCAGAGTTCAAGCCCCACAACCGCCGAAAAAATAAGGTTGTCTACCCATTTTGTGTGCTGGACTGTGCTGGCAGGTAGGTACTGAGAAGTTTTCAGAGCGGTTCTGGGGATGGTTTCCTAAGAACACTCAGCATTCACAAGGCCAAAATTGGGGAGGAAAAATAGTGGATTCCAGAAACTTGGCAGAGGAGAAACAGTAAACATCTTTAACAAACCTCCCTCTCCTCCTCTCTCCCTCTCTCCCCACGAAGCCTGAAATTTGCTGTTCTGGGAGGTGGGCTGCCTGGATAGTTCGTACTTCCATCCGATAACATTTTTCTTTTCTGAGTATTTGCATCTGGGACTTTACATGAGTTGACTCTTAGAGTGGCAAGGAAAAAAAATGTCCTTTCTGTTTCTGGTTGCATGTCATTATATCGTTTTTTCCACTTTTTTTGTTTTTGGTTGGTTGTGGGGCTTGAACTCTGGGCCTGGGCGCTGTCCCTCAGCTCTTCAGCTCAAGGCGAGCGCTCTACCACTTGAGCCACAGCGCCACTTCCGGCTTTCTTGAGTCGTTTACTGGAGATCAGAGTCTCAGGGACTTTTGGGCCCGGGCTGGCTTTGAACCGCCATCCTCCGATCTCAGCCTCCTGAGTAGTTAAGATGACAAGCGTGAGCCACGGGGGACTTCTTTTCCTCGCTTGGTTGCTTTCTCTTCCCCACGTGAGGACACATTTTTTTTTTGGCCCCTCCTCTTCCCCCGCCCCCTCCCCCCCTCCACTTTGGTGATTTTCTACCTCCATATAAATTCCTTCACGCCCAGGAAACCCGAGGGACGTTTTGATCCTTTCAACAGTTTCTGCATCTCTGTCGAACCACTGAGACAAGTCCACTTTGGAAGCTTGGGGGAGTTGAGATGCAAGAATCCGCAGGATTCGATGGTGGAGGGGAAAGCAAATGTGTCTAACTTAGCTGCTCTTGGCCAAGAAAAGAAAAAAAAAACAGAGGCTTTCAGGGTTTATTTCCATCTCCCCGAGGGGTGCCGCTCCCAGCTCTGGGACTCCCTGCTCTCCTTATCTTGAGGTATTGAAAGAGAAGGGGGATGTGTGAGGGAACATGCACCCACACGCGTGTGTCCACGCACGCATGCATGCATCCATCTGTGTATTCACACGTGGGCACGAGTCAGAGCACTGCGATCACCCGGCAGCAGCCACAGCCGGCTGATGGGTGAGAGCTATAACCCACAACCACCACGGCCTCCCCACAAACCCCCCGGGGAGACCGGCTTGGCCCAGGGAAACAAGAGCCACCAAGGCCATTAACACCAGTAGCCATGTAAGATGAGCTTCGTAATAGGATTTCCCAGTAGGCCTACTTCATTTAGAAACCTCTCAGGCCTACCCCCGCGCCCCGTGGCGGCCCCGTCCAGCTCCCTCCAGAGAAGAATCCGATGTAATTGGCTGGATGTAATGGGCTGTGACACCAGGCGCGAACAACAGCACGCAGAGCTGGAAGGATGTTCCTTCCGCAGTGCCCTCCCCCCCCATTCCCCCCCACTCCCCCCCTGGCGGGCTGGGCGCTGGTGGTGATTGTAGGAAGAGGGTTTTTATTTTTCCTGGGGTCTCGATCATTTGGTTCTCTGTGCCTGAACCACCCACCATCATTTCTGGTGCTGACCAAAGCCATGCGGACGCTTTCCATGTCACAGGGGCGGGTGTGCAGCTGCCGAGACATGATACAGCCACGCTCTGCGCGGGGGTGCGCATTTTGTCCGAAGCCCGCTCACCCCTGACTGAATTAACCCGCATCATGGTGGGAGGGGAAGGGCCTTGAGGTGTGTCGTCAGCTGATCCCAGCGTCATCCGTTTTGTGGAGAAGGATCCAGCGAGTGGTGTGGGGATGGGCTCGCATCTCGTCTTACTGGTGCTAACGGCGCAGGCCGGGAAGCCTTTCCGTGCGCTAGTGTGTGTGTACAGATCCCCGGCTGGTTATTCTTGAGCCCAGGATTAGACAGCACAGAGGCCTCTCCTCTCGAGACTCAACCATCCTAAATACATGTTTAGAGCCGGACGCTGGTGGCTCACACCTGTCATCCTAGGAACTCAGGAGGCTGAGATCTGAGGATCGCAGTCCAAAGCCAGCCCGGGCAGGAAAAGTCCCCTGTGAGACTCTGATCTCCAAGGAACCACCAGAAAGCCAGAAGTAGCGCTGTGTGGCTCAAGCGGTAGAGCGCTTGCCTTGAGCCAAAGAGCTGAGGGACAGCGCCCAGGCCCAGAGTTCAAGCCCCACCACTGACAACAACAACAAAAAAGCACAGCGTGTGTTTTCAGGAAGTTCAGCTGTCCGCTCACAAACTCTTTTCTTAGGGGAGAGACTGGGCAGAGATTGACTGCTCACCGCTCCAGAGGTGGGAAGTTCAGGTTCGAGGCGTGGGCGGGGAGTTCAAGTTCAAGGCGAGGGTCGCCCCCTGCCACCTCCCAGGGCAGAAGAGCACGGGAGCAGGCTCTGCCTTCATCCCCTGGGCGGGGTGGGATGGTGGAATTGCCTCTTTAACTGGCTCTTAACCCTTTGAGGGCCCCTCACCATCACCTGGATTTGAGAGCACCAGACCATTGCTCACCTTCCCCGCTTCCCCCCCCCCCCATTCCCTACTTTACCTCCCTGGCAATCTCTCCCTACAAAACGCTAATGGCCTCCCGGGGGCACAGACTTCCTCTGGTGGAGGAGAAATCACTGCTTTCCACTCCGAATCACCCAGATGGGGGAGGGGGGGACAAAACCTCCTTTCCAAGTCTAGG